TTTCTTTCACTCCTTCATTATTGGATTCAAAAGTTTCAAGTAGGTACTGATTAATCTGAAACAAAGGATTCTATTCACACAATCTTTGCTTTCAATAAGTGACTTGCTCTTAGATTGCTATATTTTCACTTAATTATCCTAAAGTTGATGTCCATGTGAAGCTTCTGAAAATGTGGAATTCAATGGAAGTATCATGTTAAAGATACCTGATCTCTGGGGCATGATCCCTTAGTGAATTTAATTTGGAGAAGCAGCTGTGGGGATACTTTGATCAACTTAGTTTTGTGGCAAGTATTTTAATTGATTGAATTCCCAGTAATCTCTTCCCTTACATGGAGGATTCTCCCAAGTTATTAATGCTATTATGAAGATGTAAAATAAAAGCCGTTACCAAACAAAGTGAAGAAAATTAATGTAATTATGTGTATGCTTTTAAGAATTTAAAATAGTCTATTTTTAAGAATATTCTGTACTGTGTATTCTCAGTAACAACTCTCATATTTGATGATCTGTTAAGAAATCAACTGTTTTTTTTCATGAACCCAACTCTGGATAAATCCATAATTTAAACTACAAAATGCTTTTGGAAGCAAGGGAAGGTGTATATGATTTCTGCAGGCTACCAGACCAAACATCTTTATCTTCAGTGAGTGACTATGTTCTCACCTGTCCTTTGCAGTCCCATTTGGACCAATATGGTGGCATTCCTGATTTATCTTCAACTAACTAAGATATCATCCTCCAGGACCATTGATAAAATTTCAGGAAACTGAAGTTGGAACAAGTGACCAAAGAAGAAATAGGAAGCCCAGGTAACATATTTAAAAAACTCTTCACTACTATTACATAAGGCCAAATGAGCTTATCTTGAATCAATTGTATTTCTTTCTTAAGAAGCAGGATTTTTACTTTTGTCACATATTTTGTGCAGAACCAAGAATAAGATTGTCAGCCATTCATTTTATCCATCACATAGAGCATCACATTAGAATAAGTACCATGCCAATAATCTTCTCCAAGTTTTATATTAGGGTTATTTGGATACATACTAAAATAGTGAAAACATGTGGCACAACATAATATAATGGAATTATATACATAATCTCCACAGCATCTTTTAAAAATAATATTAAAGCCAACATTGATATAATTAGGAAAATCTAACAATTATCTATGTTTTTATATATTGTCATCTTGCATATGGTACTTTCGTATATTCTGGTTCTATATAAATGTTTTATTTCTGTTTTCTATTATGGTAAAATATATACAACACATTTTTTTGCAACTACCATTTCTAACCATCTCACACTGAAACTCTGTATGCATTGAACAAATATTCCCCATTCCCTCCCCTCTCAGGAGATAATTTTTATCTTCATTAATATGACTAAGCTAGGTAGCACATAAAAGTAATATCACAAAATACTTGTCCCTTTGTATTTGAGTCATTTAAATATTTAGTATAAGGTCTTCAACTTATATCCATGCCGTTGCATATATCAGAATTTAATTCCTTTTTTGATGTCAAATTTATCAAGTACAACCCACTTACTTATTCCCTAAATATGCCTAAATGGTAGTCCTTTGACTTAGGAATTAAGAAATGTATTTCCAAACAGACTAAAAATATCACTGAAACTATTTGGTGGTAAGCTTGTATATGTGAACACCACAATTTGTCCATTTGTTAGTTGATGGATATTTGTGTTTTTTTCTCCCCTTGACTACTGTAAATATTACTGGCATAAACATTGGTCTACAAGTATTTCTTATGGTCTCTTTTTTCTATTTCTTACCCTAGGTAAGAAATATATATGTAATTTATAATAATATAAATTAATAACCTATTATTGCAGACAAAATTAGTCAATCAGGGAAGTTTAATTACTTGTTAGATTCATGGGCCTATGTTTGCCTATTAGAAAGGATACTTTAGGTACCAAGTCTATAGAATGTCAAAAAAAATTCCAATATCTGTTTCAATCTCTGGGATAATATTCATATCTAGAGTCTTAAAAATACACTTCATCAAGCTTAACACATTGCCTTATGCACTCAGTCAAGTCTCTAATTTGCACAAAGATTCCTTAGATTACAGATAATTTGAATGATAAATTTTAAAAATGGGAATGAAGTATGGAGAACGAAAATGAATTGTCCTCCAGTAATGAAAGTGGCAAACGAAAGGGAATCTCTACAATTGTACACAATCATAATCACCCAGTCAAGCCTTCTGTGTAACAGGAATGCTTCTTTGAGTAATTAGGTGAGAGAGATTTGGGTAAATTTGTGTCACTCTATAAAAATATGGTATAAGACTACATGTGGAAACATAAAGTACTAAACAATGTCTTGAATTTACTTGGTGTTTATTTGCAAGACAATTGATTGAGACCTTTATTTACATTATCCTATTAAACCTAGAAGCCACCCTACATCTGAGATACTCTTACGGTGCTCATTTCTACAAATGCTGTTGTGTAACTTATCCTAGGTTACAGTGGTTAAATATAGATTCTGAGGCTCATATTCTAAACCATAATGTAACCTGACATCTCAAAAGCTACACTGAGGCAGGCATCCTCGCTCACCTGTGTGAAATTATAGGTGAAATGAAACTGAAATGACTGCATGTAAGACAGGCAATTTACCCTCCCTAACTATTGCTCTTCTGTATGGTTTCCAAAGTCCATTCAATGGCATGCAGGTTTTAGAGGCAACAGTTTTAGTTTTGTTAAAAGAAACTGATGAGGAAAATGTGATATTTCTTTAAAACTCATCTTATTTTTAAAATGAGAAACCTGATGATAAAATTTGACTTTTTATTTAGGACCTCAGTGTTTGGCTGTGTTTCTGTTTATGGCTTGATCTTTGAAAAAAAGCTATTGCTTATGTAAGAAACAACTTTTACTATAAAATTATATAGAAGCATGTTTATGCATAAAATGTTATTATGTATTTCAGTTGAATTGAAACTTGAATTTTCAGTTTATAATTTCCAATATCCTGCAGATTTAGTGCTTTCTAGTATTTTCTATCTTGTGTATCTTATGTGGTTTTTTTTCTCTTTTACATTGTAGAGTTTAGCATAGTGCAGCTCTATTTAGTTTATGTTCTTTTAACTGCCATTGTGGAATACTATCATAGATTCACATTTTTAGTGTTCACTACATTCACTACATTAAGTAATTTGAGAAGTCTTAGAAATATGCAAGTGAAATATATTTCATTTATCATAAAATATAATATTGACAAAGTATAAAATATCATCTATTCAGACAAATCAATAATTTTTAATATTGAGGAGTAATAATCTCCTTAAGAATATATTCAATATTTATTGAATACTTGAAATGCTCTAAACAAACAGGTGTCATAAGTACTCAATAGTCAACAAGAGAGTCTTTCCACCTGAAAGTTATCTGTAAATGCTCAGATAGCTCATGTGAATGGTGAGTGTTCATTTTCTATTATAAATGCAGCTATTGTTTCATAATTGTGAGTAAAGAATTATGTATGTGCATATAGAGCATCATAAGCCCCCTAAGATAGAACTTCCTTTATATAGCTGATTTAATCTATTGCTATACACTAAAGTTTACAATATGAGTTTTGAGTTTTCTTTGAATCAAAAGTCAAAGATTTCTAGAATCTTTGTGCTCATATTGGTGCTACATTACCATCTAGGCACTTTCTGATTGACAGCTGATGGAATGTGGAATATTTCAACACTCTGTTCATGCACTCAAAGTTGCAACAAACTTTCTACCAACTTTAAAGCATAGAAAGCCTTTGCTGTCTCTATCTGCCTTCTCATTTATCTCTTATCTTCTTTCTGCACATACTTTCACTCTTCCTTATGTGCTTGAGTATAACTTCACTTTAAAAGTACAGAAAGGAGAATAATGTGACTTTCACAAATACCCATCAGGTAATGTAGACACTGAAATTGAATATATTTAATATAATCCTGCTAATATAAAGTTGCATGTATTAAAAATAAAATTGGCACTGATCACATCTGAAAAGCCCAATAAATGGTTAATTTTACCGAAAAGAATGAATATCTTGTATTCACCATGAACTCAGATAGTCAAGAGCTAATATTAGGAAAATTGATCCATTTAATGATTACTTAATGGTGAGGAACCTTTAGAACAAGTGAAGTGTGCATGATTAATATAAAATGACCTATCAGCAAAAATGTTATCATGTTATTAAGAATAAAATTGTCAATGATAAAAACTCAGAAACTTGTACATCTAAAAATATCATAACATTAATAAGGTATATAGTGTGGAACATGGTTTTCCTAGGATAGCCAAGTCAAAATAAACTGATATATGTGTGTGTAAATATATATATTTACATTATATAATATTTGTACTATATGATTATTCTAATTAAAATCTTTATTTTTGATATTCTGAATTGATTCATGACTAGTAATAATCAATTCTAAACAAATTGGAAATATGGAGAATGAGTCTTTGCAATGCCTATTTACTTTGAATTGCAGCATTACTCTTTTTTCCTTCAATAAACCTGTTTGCAGTAATTGTCAATTGAATTTGTGTTTGTGTGTGTATATCTGTGTGTGTGAGTATGTGTTTTCAGAATCAAAGAAATTGCTGTGTGTGTGTATCTGTATGTGTATGTGTATTTTCAGAATGAAAGAAATTGCTTTTTGGGGGATGGAAACAATACATTTATCTTTGCTAATTTGCTCTATGATGGGTTTGAAACTCAGCTTAATTTTTTAATAAAGTTTAATCAGAATTTCATAATATTTCTGGGTCCTTAATTGTCCATTAATCCTAGATTCTAGGAAATTATAGGAAACTATCAGATAGGCAAATGTCTAAACATTGGCTATAATTTTATGCTGTGTTTAGTAGGTGTTATTTTATATAAAGATAGGAGTGAAGTCATTACTGATGAGTTTGTTGTCATGTTTGATCCCAGAGGCTCAAAAAAGCTTTAAGAAAAAAACACCTTCAGAAGAACACATGGAAAATCAGAACAATGTGACTGAGTTTATTCTCCTGGGTCTCACTCAGAATCCTAAGGGGCAAAAACTTCTGTTTGTGACTTTCTTACTCATCTACATTGTGACAGTAATGGGAAACCTTCTCATCATGGTGACAATCATGGCCAGCCAGTCCCTGGACTCCCCCATGTACTTTTTTCTGGCTTATTTGTCATTTATAGATACAGTTTATTCGACTACCATTGCTCCCAAAATGATTGTAGACTTGCTCTATGAGAAAAAGACCATTTCTTTCCGTGCTTGTATGACTCAAGTTTTTATAGATCATTTGTTTGCTGGTGCCGAAGTCATTCTTCTGTTAGTGATGGCCTATGACCGATACGTGGCCATCTGTAAACCTCTTCATTATTTAACCATCATGAACAAACGGGTATGTGTTCTTATGCTGTTAGTGGCCTGGACTGGAGGCTTTTTTCACTCTCTAGTTCAATTGCTCTTTATTTATCACCTCCCTTTCTGTGGTCCCAATGTCATTGATAATTTTGTGTGTGATATGTATCCATTACTGAAACTTGCTTGCACTAATACATATCTCATTGGACTTTGTATGATAGCCAATGGTGGAGCAATTTGTACTGTTACTTTCTTAATTCTCCTAGTTTCTTATGGGGTCATATTAAGTTCCCTTAAGGCTCATGGTTTGGAAGGGAAACGTAAAGCCTTCTATACCTGTGCATGCCATATCACCGTGGTCATTTTATTCTTTGTCCCCTGTATCTTCCTCTACGCAAGACCCAATTCCACCTTTCCCATTGATAAATCCATGACTGTGTTTTTAACGTTCATAACTCCCATGTTGAACCCTTTAATCTACACACTGAGGAATACTGAGGTGAAAAATGCCATGAGGAAACTGTGGAGTAAAAAAGTGACTTCAGTTGGAAGAGAGCTGCAGTCCTCATGCAGAACATGATGTTCATTTTGTCACAGTGGCAAGGGATATTTTATTTTTCAGCAACTACATTTGTATTATCATTCTTTTTGGGTTGTTTAGTTCTTTTATTCTGAAAGAAATTTATAAATTAATTTTTATCTAAGTGGAATGTGTTAGTTCTAACCTACAGAATTGCATAGGTTTAATACCTTTTATGTGTAATCATACCATTTTAAGATCTTTTAGTGGGCAATTATTTTTTATTTTATGCCATTTTTTGAAATATTTTTAACAAGATTTTATAGGTTTCAGCATTTAGATCCTATATGTATTGTTTTAGATTTATACTTAAAGTTTTTATTTTATTTGGAGCTATTATACATGGTATTACACTGTTAATTTGGTTTTTGTTTATTCATTGACAATATACAGAAATGCAATTTATTTGTGTGCATTTACCTTATGTACTGTGACATTGCTAACTGCTTTAGTATAAGTATTTTTAAAAAGTCCTTTTTTATTTTAACTTATGTGCACTTTCAGTTTTATAAATTTATTTTTAATTGAGAAAATAATTCTATATATTTGTAGAGGACAAATCTGATGTTTTGATCAAGGTATATGATTATAAAATGGCCCAATCAACTTAATCAACAATCAGTAACATCTTTCACCTCACCAACTACTTTTGATGAGAATGCTGAAAGTTTGTTCTTACTTGTGAACTATGATATACCATTGATTTGAGAAAAGTCATTGAGATTTTAAACCTAAAAGTTCATTTTTTAAAAAAAGTTGTAATCTAACAGTAATAACATGTTTTGAACAAACTGACTAATTTACAGTTTTCATAATATGTTCATAGCTGAGAATAAACTCATGAGATATTAATTTGTTAACTTATACTGTTATGAAATTAAGATGTCCACAAAACATATGGTTGAATTTGTATATTATGACCAATGTTAAAACAGAAATATTGTTCAACACCTTTCTCTATGTCTAGATCTATTGGCCTACTCTAATAACTAAAGTGCACATTTAAGTCTATCACATCACAATAGAACTATGGAACCTGCCGACATTAAATTTAACTCGTAGCACACAATTACTTATCTTTAAACAATGAATATCAAACATTTCGGGAATACATTGTTTTACTTTGCACAACAAAAGCCTCTCTCATTCTCCATAAACTCTATGCTGTCATTGACTTCAGTGATGAGTCAAAGGTATCTTATCAGTTTGTACTTTCTCTGTAACTCATTAGGAGCTAAAACTGCATCACAAAGATGACTTTTTCTCCTTTTTATTAGTATATAATCGTTATACATTTACATATGTGCTTACAATATATTTTAATGAGATTCACCCTCTCCATCCTTCTCTCTCTTAGAAAAATTTCCACAGGTTTCATTATTCTGTTTTCATACATGAATACAAAATATAACCACCATATTCACCCTCCTTCACCCTTTATTTAAAATTTCCAACTCACTATCTGCCCACCAGAGAGGACTTGTTTTACTTTCCTGTCCTTCATTTTTTAACATGTTGGTAATTCAAGGGAGCTTTGCATTAGTATTTCAGACATGTGTATATCATGATTTAATCAAATTAACACCCCATTACTTACTCTTTCTTTATTGTTATGCTCCCCTATTATTGAACAACTTTTAGGGCATTGCATTATATTATCGCAATACACTGATGCAATGTTTCAACGTTTTTCACTCTAAAATTATCTTTTTTAAAATCTCTGGCATTCCATGTTTTCTTGTTGAAAAGTTAACTTACAACATATATACTGAAGTAGAAAATTTTTTTTCTTCATCCTTTTCTGAATATATCATGGATTTACATAGTATGCCTAGAAATATTAATGACTTCAATTATTCAATGAATTTTGAATACTAGAAAACAAAAAATTTCATTTGTTCTTTGATGGAAAGAGTACTCTAGGTTTTTTTCATCATGTTAGCCCCTTCATTCCTCTCTCTTAGCCTTCTTCCCCTTCTTATTTTCACTTTCCCTTTCACCTTCCTAGTAATCCTCACTTTGTTTTCATGAATTTGTTTCTGGTTTTGTTCCTTTGTTTTACAAACGAGAGAACACATGAAATATTTGTCTTTGTGGGACTGGCTTATTTTGCATAATGTAATGATATTTTTCCATCCAGAAAACCTCTTGATTTCATTTTTCTTATTGGCAAAGTAAAACTCCATTGTGAGATTGCAGGCTGATTCCACAGTTTTAGTATTGTGAATGGTACTGTAATAAATATGGCTATATAAGCATTTCTATAGTAAGTTGATTTTGCTTCTTTTAGGTATACCCAGAAGTGGTATGGGTAGATGATATGAGGGTTCTTTTTAAATTTTTTTGTGGAACCTCCATACTGAGTGCCATAGCAGCTGAACTAATTTACCTGCCTACCAGCATTGATTAAGAGACCCTCCCGAGGCACATATCCGCAACAGCATTTGTTATTTGTTTTCTTGTTGATAGCCCTTCTGACTGTGATGAGATAGAATCTTAACATAGATTTGATTTACAATTCCTTGAGAGCAAGGATGTTGAACATGTTTTCATGCATTTCCTGTGCATTTATACTTCTTCACTAGAAAATTGTCTGTTCAGTTCATTTGCCCATTTGTTGGTTGGATTATTTGTGCTTTTGGTGTTTTTTGAGTTCTTTATATATAGTTCTTTTTTATATAGTTCTATATATATAGTTCTGTATGCTAGTTCTTTATATATAGTTTTGAATTCTTTATATATAGTTCTGTATGCTAGTATACTGTCAGATAAACATCTGGCAAAGATTTCCTATCATCTTGTAGTGTCTCTCTTCACTCTGTTGATTCTTCTGCTGTGCAGAAGCTTTTTCACTTGATAAAAACTCATTCCTCAACTCTTACTCTTCATCCTGAGTTATTGGAGCCATATTCAGAAAGATCTTCGCTATGTCTATATTTGAAGTATTTCCCCTATGATTTCCTCAACTAGTTTCAAACTTTCAACTTTTACATTTAAGTCTTTATCTATTTTGAACTGAGTTTTGTACAGAGAAAGGAATCCAATATAGAGAATTAGAAACTTCGTAATGGTTTCTCATTACCAGCTTGAACAGGTCCCTTGACCTGACTGGGAGTGACTGGGGATTTAGAAAAAAGTCACAAAGGCAGACATATAGAAAAGCTAAGATTGGGAGGGCCCAGCATTTCTGATGAGAGATGCCAGCAACCCGCTCCAACTCCAAGCACATTTATTTATACAGCAAATATAGGAAAGTGGGGTGAAGTTCAGGTTGAATTCTCATGGGTCCAGTCGTGTAGGTGGCAGGAACAGTGTTGTTATTTACTGCAGGTTATTATGACTACATCAGCATGTCCTGTTTTCCTTGCAAGGCAGCCTTGCTGAACCTTGCCTCCCCTTGTCTGGGTCTGTGACTAATAACAAGAGGCCCTCTGACAGAGGTGTGCTCAGGCCAAGGTCTATTTCCACTGCCTCAGCCTCCCTACTTGCAAGGCAGCCTTGCTGAACCTTGCTCAACTCCTTTGTGCTGGGGCCTTGCCTTCTCAGCACAAAGCACTTTGACATGGTCTTGCTCATGTCAAAGTTTCTTCTCTGTCTATTTAGTTACTGGCCTCCCACAATTGTTGGAATTGGAGAATCTAGTATCTGGATACTAGTGAGAACATGGTTGGGAATCAAAACTTTTCTACCCGAGATATGGCACAGAGAAGAGGAAGGTGGATTCAGGAAGAAAATTCTCTGCATCTCCTTCTCCAAGTCCTTGCCTGGCCTGAATTACACATAAATTAGCCTTCTTTAAAATACTGAAGTTTTGCTTTCCAAGTCAACTCTTTTAGTCCATATATAGTACTTATTTTCCTAAACAGAAATAAACTTTGCTTTCTTATCATAAAATAACTAAAATTTCCAAGCCCATTTATTGAATAACCAATTTCCCATTACCTTACAGTGTTGCCAATTTTACATGTAAAAATCTATATACCAATTATTCTCAAGCCTAGTTTTTTATTTAGTCTTTCTACACATGAGACTACTTAATGTCTATGTTACTATAGAATTACATATTCTACTTGCTTTGTAATAAATTTCCCTAACATTTAATTTACATAAAACACCAGAAGTCACATTTTTATTGTATCAGATGTGTTCTCTGGGACAGAAATTTGTGAGCAACTTAGCTTGGTACAGCTGGCATAAGGTACTTCTTGTAATTCAGTCATAAATTGGGCCTAAAGTCATCTAAAAGTTTCATCACTCACATACATTGTATGTAATGAACAGTGGGAACTAAAATAGCTGGTTCTCCTTGGGCATCTCTGCCTGCTTTTAGGTGGTCTCTTCATATGCTTTTCAAGCATGCTAGTCAGGGTAGTGGGAAATTTTCTACAGTTACGCAGAACTTTGGAATGTATGTGTCCCAAGAGAGTAAGGCAAGCAGAAGTTGAACTGTTTTTTTCAAACTAACATTAGGAGTTGCATAGATTCATTTCTGCCATAGCTCAATAGTCAAGACAGTCATAAAGTTGTGTTACTTTGAAGTCTCTTGTTGAGAAATGACAAAAGCATGGAAGACCATACAGAACAGGATATGGTTTTATGGAAATGCAATCCACTATAGTCTGCCTTCTTGTCACAATAACACTTATCCACCATAAGCACAATATTCTCATCTTCCATCTCTGCAGACTTTTCTTTGGTTGCTTAACCAAGTGTTACCAACTTAAGACACCAGGCTCAGATAAAAGGTGCAGGATTACTTCATCTAAATCAAGTCCCACTGTGGGTAAGTTCTTGTGGTGTGGTTTCCTGGATGCAACTCCTTGAGTTATTCCTCTCAATTGGAAGATTGGTGAACTAATGATACAAGTCACTATCCCTTCCTTATTCACACCAACAATGTACATTACCTGAGAACAATGAATAATTCCTATAGTACAGAGAGGAGAAAATAGAGATGTATATGCAGTGAATGTTTTACAAAAATATGAAAACTGATTTAG